AAAATGTACAGTTAAAATATAAGAAAAAATTTAAAATTTATGTGCAGAATATTTTATTGTGTGAATGTATGATTAAAAATAACTCAATAACAATTTTTTTTGTTTTAAACAATGAGCGCCAACATGGCTAAATTTTAAAATTTAGTCATGGTATCAGTCAACCAATGATATGGGTTAGAGGCTGCACGCGTGCAAGACCATCTACTTCAGTGTCTATGCTTTATTACACACTTTGCAGAGCTAATCATAACCCTTAACTGTGATTTACAGATTTTCATAAAATATCATCAATGTGTGTAACTTCTTGGTATGAAAATTCAAAATTAAAGCTGAGGCTAACGTCGATAAAAACTGAATAATACAATTAACAGACACTTAAAACCCGTTTGATATCCATTTTTAAAAAAAATACATTTCTCTCTCTCGTCTTTTCAATTACACATGGCTCGACTCATTGTAGTTCAAAATGATTAAATGACCTTTACCATGTAAATAAACAAAGATAATTACTAAAAACGTATTAAACTCNNTAATTACTAAAAACGTATTAAACTCGACAGTACAATATAAATTCAAAAAAACACATTTCCTGAAAAATATAAAAAACACCCTTATCATTTTTATTTACTTTGCACGTTGTGTAATAATTGTTAAATTATTGGAAACTTTAGTTAGTGATTAATGCATGGGTGGGATTAATTAATATTTAGGCAGGAAGAGGTTGAAGGATTAAATGATTTGTCTGAATGCTCAAATAATGCATAAGTACTTGAGACTTTTTAATCATATGGGTTCATTACATGCATGTGAAAGTTCATGCTCCATATATGCGTCTCACAAATGATCTACGAAGAAAAAAGAATTCTAAAACAAAATGGGAGGTAGCTAACCAACTTTTAAGAGAGAGGAGAACGGAATAGGTATTCATTAGGAGCTTGTTTGGGAGAGATTTTTTAAGGAAGAATTGATTTTGAATAGTGACATGATGGGAAATGTGTGGTTGAAAAAGAAGAAAAAATTATTGATGTGATAGAAAATATTATTTTATTGAAGAATGTGTGGTTGAAAATGAGAATTGATTTACTGTAGAAAAATCAAAATTTCTCCCAAACAGGGCCTTAGGCNTGGGAAATGTGTGGTTGAAAAAGAAGAAGAAATTATTGATGTGATGGAAAATATTATTTTATTGAAGAATGTGTGGTTGAAAATGAGAATTGATTTACTGTAGAAAAATTTAATCTCTCCCAAACAGGGCATAGATCTGTCTTTTTGCACGACATCTATGAAAGCAGCAGTTGGCGAGTAGATATGATCGGGGCCAACTCACGACATGACTAGTTTTGAACTAGAACTATTACATGTTAGACCTTTGAGTATGTACAATCTAACATGGTCTAACATGTTAACCAATGAACTTATATTGTTCGAACAAAATCTCTATTAAAAGCTTCGAGAATTTAATTGACACCTCGATAATTAAATTTTTCATTTTTTATATTTATTTTTGGGCATAATATAACCTCTATCGTCAATCATTAGCGTATGATCAGTAGGGATTTTCATCTACATTTCTTTTCCTTTGTGTTTACATTTCAGAAATTTAAAAAAACATTTTTAGACAACAATTTAAATGTTTCATAAGTATATTAGTATATTGCTGTCACATTTATTCGGTTCACATTAATTCCCGTCACACGTCACAAAGCCATCGAAACCAGCTATTAAAAACATTTTAATGCATGCATATGCCACATTTTTTTTTTCTTTAATGCAAAATACGAACAAAGAAATTCTTCACAGAACAGATATGGGACCCACCACACTTTGAAATTTGAATAATATATATCCACTATACATCAATAAAAAAAACAGGTCACAACTACACACCACAAAGTAACAAGCATCATCTCCAAAAGTCACATGTTATACATATATTTCATTACCCAAAAATTGGTAACGAAGTCACAAATTAATCATCCTAATACATCAAAACGTTGTAGGCCACTAAGGGGTTGTTCTTTTTGTATTTGAGTTTTGTGTTTTGAGTTTTAAATTCATTTTGAGTATCTATTTTGAGATTATTGAAAATGTGTTCTTTTTGACATTTTGAAAAATTATTCTGAAAACACCCAAAACGTGTTTTGAAAATTTTGACTGGATTATAACTGAAAACACTCGTTTTGGGTTTTCTTTGTAAATTTTCAATTTGATCTCAAAAGCGCATTTTTTAAGATGGGAAAGAGAACGCGTTTTCATTGTTTTAAAAAATCGAAAATAGAAAATGACTTGAAAATGGTAAAAGAGAACATACCCTATTTTTTTCGAAATTAGTAAAATTAAACTTCAGCAATGAGTACTGAAAGTTTTCGATTCTCAAATTTCTGGAAATAAAATCATATTATTGTGGCCTACATAAGACGTTCAATATTCATTCCTTTATTTTTCTTCTTCTAGAATCTCAAAAAATCTAGGATTTTTGCAATTTTGACATTTTGACTGATTTATCAATTGTTAAATATTTAACCATGTAGTTATCAATTTTTCCCATTTTAAGATATTGTTTTGTGACAAGATTGGGCCAAATCTCAGAGGCCCTTTAGGCCCGTATCTCTACTGAATAATATTGGCCCAATTGAGAGTTTTAACAATTAAGAGCCTGTTAATAAAGTATCGTCTGTTGTGTTGTTCATTGTTATCTAGTATTAAACAACGAATATACTGCAAGATAAGTTTATTGTAAAGCTCATTTTTGGATAAATTTCCGTTTATTGTCTTTAAGAAAATCATTTCAATAACACATTATAATTAGATTGAATAAAGAGTTGGCATCTAAACGAACTTAGTAATGGTCCTAGCTTATAAACCCGATTCGAGATGCGTCTCAATGTTTAAACTCGGACATTTCCTTCACCCTTCGGTGAGTTCCTTCTTGTCTATGGAATTCTTCAAGAAACTCTCCGTACCGATACTGCCTATACATTTGCGGGTATTGTTCATCAATCAAGTCCTTTACAGGACCAATAACGAAGTCCTCGTTTGATCCATAAAACATTGCTATTGATGCTCGATGCAAATCCTTGTTGGTCATAGTAGATCGGCGCACACTCTTGTACATTCCATTACTCAAGACCTGCAACAAAATAAGAACCATATCAATCCTCATACATATTTCAAGAGCATGATACGTACGATAAAATTGGACAGTACAATGTACAATATTTTAGCTTCATAATCTTTAATACTATACAGACTTCAGAGCCATAAATTACATTGCCAAATAAAGTGTTAAAGATTACATGCTAACTAGAAACGTCTTTTTTAACGCATCCACAACTATCCATTCACCATTTTTGGTAGCCTGTAGACCAGTCGCACCTCGAGAGGTTAGTAGAATGTTGAGTGCATTTAAGTCAGTATGAGTAGGCAATCTTAAAGTGAGCTCAGGAAGTGGACATGGTGGATAAAAATTGGATTGTGAAATTAATGTAGGATTCTGTCCCAAGGCTCTTTTGTAAAATACTAGTATGGTTAACGTGCATCGCACATTAGTTAGTTGTTTAATGTTGAAAATAAATACAAGTAAATTTTAGAGAAATTCATTCATAAACATAAAAGATATTCATAATTTATTTATGAACTTACTTGTCGTCTATATTCTTTGTATTTTCTTGATTCTCCATATGAGCATTTCGTATTAAATGTATTGAACGTTTCATCACAAAAGTATTATTAACTAAATATAATCAACGATTTA